AATACATGTATGTACACAAGCAGATATATACATTATGTAATACTTTGTTCCGAATGCAATAGTAACAAAGAAAACAGTGAGCAGCCTCAGTTCCCAGGCAAGTCCAAGAAAACGTCATCCAAGGGCAAAAAGAAGGAATCCTGCTCTAAGCATGCATCTGGAACTTCCTTCCACCTCCCACAGCCCAGCTTCCGTGTGGTGGATCCAGGCAGCCAGCCTGAAGCACCCCCATTGCCCGCTGCCTATTACCGCTACATTGAGAAGCCACCTGAAGACCTGGATGCAGAGGTAGAGTATGACATGGATGAGGAGGACCTTGCCTGGCTGGACATGGTGAATGAAAAGCGGCGAGTAGATGGGCACAGTTTGGTGTCAGCAGACACCTTTGAGCTGCTGGTGGACCGGCTTGAGAAGGAGTCATACTTGGAGAGTCGTAGCAGTGGGGCCCAACAGTCACTCATTGATGAAGATGCCTTCTGCTGTGTATGCCTGGATGATGAATGTCATAATAGCAATGTCATTCTTTTCTGTGACATCTGTAACCTGGCCGTACATCAGGAGTGCTATGGTGTACCCTATATCCCCGAGGGCCAGTGGTTATGCCGCTGCTGCCTGCAGTCTCCCTCTCGGCCTGTGGATTGTGTCCTCTGCCCCAACAAGGGTGGTGCCTTCAAACAGACCAGTGATGGGCATTGGGCCCATGTAGTGTGTGCCATCTGGATTCCAGAAGTCTGTTTTGCTAACACTGTCTTCCTGGAGCCTATTGAGGGCATCGACAACATCCCACCTGCCCGATGGAAACTCACCTGCTATATCTGCAAGCAGAAGGGGCTGGGTGCAGCTATCCAGTGCCATAAAGTGAACTGCTACACAGCCTTCCATGTGACATGTGCACAGCGGGCTGGGCTCTTCATGAAGATTGAGCCCATGCGAGAAACCAGCCTCAATGGCACCATCTTCACCGTGCGTAAGACCGCCTACTGTGAGGCCCACTCGCCACCAGGTTCTGCCACTGCCAGGAGGAAGGGTGACTCCCCCAGAAGCCTCAGTGAGGCTGGGGACGAGGATGGGCTGAAGGAGGGTGGTGGGGAGGAAGAAGAAGAGGAAGAAGTGGAGGAGGAGGAGCAGGAAGGCCAAAGTGGGGTGGGTGGCCCTCTGAAGGGAGTGCCCAAGAAGAACAAGATGAGTTTGAAGCAAAAGATCAAGAAGGAGCCAGAGGAAGCAGGCCGAGACACACCCACCATGGGGACCGCCACTGTCCCCATGGTCACTGTCCCACAGATACCCTCTTACAGGTGAGCCTGCCCAGATGGACTCTTTAACGATTCATGATTTCTTCTTGGTTTGGTCTTGGCTTTGGGCCAGGCCTTCCTCAAATATGGTTGGTGGATGTCTTTTTCTATGCCCCATATTTAAATATCTCCTTTGGATTCTGGCTCACCCAGCTTGTTTTGTGGTTTTGATTGTATCCTCATAGTAATGTGTTTCCTTTGGTTCCGGGTAAAGCAAAACACTTGAGTTGCTTAGAAACTCGGGTAACAGGATATATAAGGTAGTATTTTTTAGAAGGGCACTAATTGGCATTTTGGACAGAATAATTCTTCATTGTTAGAACTGTCCCTTACATTTCTAAATGTTTATTAGCATCCTTGCTCTTGGTAAATGCGTTTCATCCCATCCAATTGCCTGATCTTTGTGAAAACCTCACACGAGTTTCCAAACACCCCTGGGTGAATAGAAGTATTCCTAATTTGGAACCACTCTGATAAGGGGTTGACAGGTTTTCTGTACAACAAACTCTGTCCTGGGTGTATCAGGGACTTTGTATGAGGGGGTGGCAGTGTGGGAAGAACGTTTTATTCCTTCTTTTCAGAATCTTTAGATTTAGGGGAAAATTTAGCTGTGTAACTAAAACTCCTGGGCCCCCATTGAAGCTGTAGAGAAATCATTGTACTTGTTTTAAAATCTCAGTTAAGTTGTTGAAGCAGTTAGGTGGGAATTTGGTAGAAAAGCAAGAAACAAGGAGGATTTTCCAGCAGGGGCTCATCTCAAGGGTGATTCATTAGCAAGTATACAGGATTAGAGCAGGAAGGAATGTTGGAGATTGTTCATCTAATGTAGTCCTTGCACCTTCTCCCATACCCCCAGATGAAGAAACCACGGCCCCGGGAGGTAAAGTTGTTTACATCTTTATTCATTCAATGATATATTTATTGAGCACTTACTACATGCCACATCCTGTTCTAAGAAATGGGACCAGGTGAAAAGTGACAGATTTGGATTACAAGCTGTAGCTCATGATACCTCGAGGCTAGTACTGTCGCCTCCATGAAAAGGTTAGGGAGAAAGGAATACTGGAAGATTGTGGGGAATGAAAAGTATGAAATCTGTTTACATTTCTGGTTGGACAAATCTGCCTAACCAGACTTGGCAGACGAGGAAGAAGACATAAAAGTGAGACCAAGGCAGGGATGCTCTTGTTGCAACCTATGGCCCAAGTTAGAATTCCAGTGATTCTGGGTGTATTCTAGGCATAGAGCTGTTCTAGGCTACCTCTTCCCTGAGGTAAGTAGATCCATGCTTTGTCCCTGTCTGTAGTGTGACTAGGCCCTGGGGCTAGATCTTTGGGTGTCATGTCTGTCCTTCTAGAGCCTCTCCCAGGCACCAGCTACACTGACTAACAGCCAGACGGACCTTCTGTTACTTAGTACTTATATGACTCGACATGTTGCTTAACAGCTCTAAGTCTTAGTTAGTTTATTTATAAATGAATCGTCACATAGAATTCTGAAAACTAAATGAGGTAATATTAGTAAAGCACTTAGCACAGTGTCTGGCAAATAGTAAGTACTCAATAAATGGTGGTCACTGCTGCTGCTGCTATTTTATTATTATTATTCTTTTCCCTACTTGCACAAATGCTGTTGGGGCCCCCCATGGCCAAAAGGTTGTAGAGGGAGGGGGCTGCCTGCATCTGGGCAGGTGTGCTTGGCATGGGCATTGGTGGGGATCTGTCCTTTGGGGAAAGGTGTAGGTCTTGATTTTATAAGCTTGGCTTTGGGGCAGGAGTGTCTGACTGTGAAGATGAACAACACCCAAGTAAGCAATGTCCTGCCCAACATGCCCATCCTTCTAAGGTTCCGCCTTCTTGATTAACCACACTTATTTTCTTTTCAGTGGAGTGGGGTGAAGAGACAAAACAGAGGAAATAACACAGGAGCACTGAGACCTGACTTACCCTGTGGAGAAACAATTTTGAATGCACCATGGTAGAGCAGAGAGATCATAGATTCAGATCTCACTCAGATCCACCATCTTATTAACTGCATCCATTGCATTGACCATTTATTCAATTGATACATCTAAGCTGCTTTTCTGTCTTTTGTGACGTAAATAGTGTTTCTCCTCCTACAGTGTGGGCATTAACATAGAAATTTTAGGTTCTTACTGGTTCCTTCCACCCCAGGTGTTACAGGCCTAACCCCAGACCTTAAGACTTCTCTTTTGGGTAGTTTAGCTAGGTTTTCCCTCAGATCCTCCATCCTACACCTTTAGATCCATTTTTTTCTCCATTTGGCTCAAAATTAGGCATTTTTAGGCTGTTGATTTTTAAAAATGAAAATCAGAGATCAAACAACTCTTAAAGGGTTGCATTTGGGCTCAGAAAGCAGTAACCTGATGTATTCCTACTGGTTTTTCCTTCCTTCTTGATTGTGAGCTGGGATCCTCAGCCACATGAGGCAGTAATAGTGACCACATTGCCCATAGCTTATTTAAGTTCCTGTTTCTTTTGCTGCCTTTACTAATAGGAGGGTGGAGGTTTTAGTGTACAGGCCCATTTCTCAGATAATACTTGGAATAAAGGAGTCCAGGATCACAGGAAATAGGTTCTTTTGGAGGATCAAGGCTGTGACACAGGAGGTGGAAAAGCAAGTAAAGTACCTCTTGCTGAATCTGAGCTGCTTAACTTTGCTATCTTTTTCAAGGCTTTCTCTGAGGTGAGGCATTTGGCTATTTTATTCTATCTTCCTCTCAGAAATGAACCGGGTTCTGGATAGGATGTGTGGGCTATAATCTGGGCTGCCCTCTGACCCTATCTTTCACTTCTCTGTGCCTCTACTCAAGGTTGAACAAGATCTGTAGTGGTCTCTCCTTTCAGAGGAAAAACCAGTTCATGCAGCGGCTTCACAACTACTGGCTGTTGAAGCGGCAGGCACGGAATGGTGTCCCCCTCATCCGGCGCCTGCACTCTCACTTGCAATCCCAAAGAAACGCTGAACAGGTAGGTGGAGTGATGATTGGAGGCTGGTGGAGGGAGGTTGAGCCTGAAGGAGAAGTGAAGATTTGAGAGGAGGGGCTGGCGCCTATCCCTGAGTTCTCTGTGGAGCCTTTTATACAGATGATCACCCTGCTGGGTAGTCTGTCCTGGAAATAACCTCCAGCACTACAGATATCTTCAGACCTAACAGCAGCCCTTTCTGGATGGTAGAGGCTTGACTTAGGAGCAAATTCTAGGGGAGAGTGTAGGGCCAGCTCAACTTTCCCTATAGTGGGGAAACCCTCCAGATGGGACAGAAAGGAAGAAGAGCCAGGGTGGCTGCATTGTGTGAATTAGAAAAAGGCGCCCTTTTCTCAAGACAGTACACTGCCATCTGCCAAAAAATGTGTCATAGTAAATAAAAAAACTTATGATCTTATTATAGTGCACAGCTCACCCAATTGTGGTGGCCTTTAGCCGTTAACAACTATAGTTGCTGCATATTTTATGTTTTGTTTTTTTTTTTTGCTCCTGATTTTCCTTCCAGTATTTACATCTTCCGTTTTCTCTCCCTCTTTACATCCTTCATTACTTCTGCCTTTAAATCATCCCACAGTGTTGTTCCAGAAAAGAAAGAAACCTTCCTGTTACTGGTGCATTCTGTTTGATCTTAGTTTGCCTTTTGTAACTAAGTTCCTGAAGTACAAACCTATGTCTGGTTCCTCTTGAGCCTTCTGGACCATTTGCTTCCCTGAATTCTCCCTTACGTCAGTGACCTCCTCCAGCAAGTCTTTCCTTAAATTCCCACCATACTGCCCATCAAGATGCATTTCTTTCTTTTCTTTTCTTTTTGTAAAAAAATTTTTTGTTTAGTTGTTGAGGGACCTTTATTTTATTTATTTGTTTGCGGTGCTTAGAATTGAAGCCAGTGCCTCACACATGTTAGGCAAGCGCTCTTACCACTGAGCCACAACCCCAGCCCCAAGATGCATTTCTTTTTGGGTCTTTGTTTGTCTAAGCTTTTCCGTGATATCATTTCCCATCTCTTCTACCCCTCTGATTGTACCTTTTGCTTATCCCTTTTTTAAGTCTTTAACAGTAATATTCCCTCTGCTGCCTGCTTATTTACTTAGAGAGCAAGTCCAAGTAAAAATAATTGAAAATAACTGTTGTGTCAGTATCTCCAGATTTTTTGCTATTCTCATCCCTTTTTTCTGTCCTCAGTCCCTTTGGGATCCTTCCATGTGTAGGTAGTTACTGTAACTCAGATTCTGGAACCTGAATGAATTATCTTCCTTCCTTTTAGTAAACTTATTTTCTCATTTTTGCCGTGGAACTCTTCCCCCTCCTGACTTCATATCAAGAATTCTCCACCTTAGAGTTACTTTTGACTTTTACCCTATAATGAGTCAGAATTAATCATTCTTTAAGCTATTGGGGGGATTTATCAGTTTAGTCCTTTGTCTTTATTTTATGCTACCTTGCCTATCCATGCCCCCTCAGTCTCAGCAATAGTTTTCTTTTCAACAATAGTTTTGTAGGTGTCTCCAGCCTCTAATTCTTTGCTCTACGACTGGTGGGGTCACATATACTGTTTTTCCATTCTATCACTTCCTTTTCCAGAATATACTTTCCCTCTCCAAGGAGGCCAAGTCCAGGTTCTTTACCCTGGCATTTGAGGCTTCTTGTCAGCTGGATCCTGGGTTCTATGGCTTTTGTGGTTCTCCAGCTTCTCTACTTTGGCCAGCCCATTTTACTCAACTAAACACAGAATCACTAATTCTACCTCTACATTTCTGTCCCTCTGGTCCTGTCAGTTCCAGAAGAGACCTCCCTTACTGCTTAGCCTATCTATGTCTACTACTGTATGCAAAAGCTCTTGCAGGATACTCCCAAGGAAACTTTTCCCTATCTAACCCCCACCTCTCTACTTTCTGTCTTGTCCGCATTTTATGTGCAGTTTTACATTATCAGTTTTTTTTTTTTCAGATTTTTTTTCTTTTTTTTATTTTATTTTTTTTTTATTGTTGGTTGTTCAAAACATTACATAGTTCTTGATATATCATCTTTCACACTTTGCTTCAAGTGGGTTATGAACTCCCATTTTTAGCCCATATACAGCTTGCAGAATCACATCAATTACACATCCATTGATTTACATATTGCCATACTAGTGACTGTCATGTTCTGCTACCTTTCCTATCCTCTACTATCCCCCCTCCCCTCCCCTCCCCACCCCTCTTCTCTCTCTACCCCCTCTATTGACCTTCATTTCTCCCCCTTGTATTATTTTTCCCTTTCCCCTCATTTCCTCTTGTATGTTCTTTTGTATAACCCTGAGGGTCTCCTTCCATTTCCATGCAATTTCCCTTTTCTCTCCCTTTCCCTCCCACCTCTCATCTCTGTTTAATGTTAATCTTCTTCTCATGCTCTTCGTCCCTACTCTGTTCTTAGTTACTCTCCTTATATCAAAGGAGACATTTGGCATTTGCTTTTTAGGGATTGGCTAGCTTCACTTAGCATAATCTGCTCTAGTGCCATCCATTTCCCTGTAAATTCTATGATTTTGTCATTTTTTAATGCAGAGTAATACTCCATTGTGTATAAATGCCACATTTTTTTAATCCATTCGTCTATTGAAGGGCATCTGGGTTGGTTCCAAAGTCTTGCTATTGTGAATTGAGCTGCTATGAACATCGATGTAGCAGTGTCCCTGTAGCATGCTCTTTTTAGGTCTTTAGGGAATAGACCAAGAAGGGGAATAGCTGGGTCAAATGGTGGCTCCATTCCCAGCTTTCCAAGAAATCTCCATACTGCTTTCCAAATTGGCTGCACCAATTTGCAGTCCCACCAGCAATGTACAAGAGTACCCTTTTCCCTACATCCTCGCCAGCACTTGTTGTTGTTTGACTTCATAATGGCTGCCAATCTTACTGGAGTGAGATGGTATCTTAGGGTGGTTTTGATTTGCATTTCTCTGACTGCTAGAGATGGTGAGCATTTTTTCATGTACTTGTTGATTGATTGTATGTCCTCCTCTGAGAAGTGTCTGTTCAGGTCCTTGGCCCATTTGTTGATTGGGTTGTTTGTTCTCTTATTGTCTAATTTTTTGAGTTCTTTGTATACTCTGGATATTAGGGCTCTGTCTGAAGTGTGAGGAGTAAAGATTTGTTCCCAGGACGTAGGCTCTCTATTTACCTCTCTTATTGTTTCTTTAGCTGAGAAAAAACTTTTTAGTTTGAGTAAGTCCCATTTGTTGATTCTAGTTATTAACTTTTGTGCTATGGGTGTCCTATTGAGGAATTTGGAGCCCGACCCCACAGTATGTAGATCGTAGCCAACTTTTTCTTCTATCAGACGGCGTGTCTCTGATTTGATATCAAGCTCCTTGATCCATTTTGAATTAACTTTTGTGCATGGCGAGAGAAAGGGATTCAGTTTCATTTTGTTGCATACGGATTTCCAGTTTTCCCAGCACCATTTGTTGAAGATGCTATCCTTTCTCCATTGCATGCTTTTAGCCCCTTTATCAAATATAAGATAGTTGTAGTTTTGTGGATTGGTTTCTGTGTCCTCTATTCTGTACCAACATTATCAG